CATAGTCACCAAATCGACATGTTTTACACCTGCGCAGTATGTTAGCTACCTGTTTTCGCAATTTTCGAAGAGAAAAAAGTTGGGCGTCTCGGTGAAATGAAGCTGCATTGAAAAAACTAGCTTGTTATTAATGATTTGGAAAAAAGGTCCTCGGCCCCCGGACTATAAAGATAACTTCAAGGTGCGTGCCAGAAGGATTTTGAATAGGTTGCCGTCTGGAATGAAACAGAGCAGATTCCAAACATCAACAAGTTTAAAGCCCAAGATAGAAAGATGTTAGGTACTAATAGAGGCCTATTACTCAGTGGACGAATTTCTTGATGTCAATTCTACAAAAAAACAAAGTTTCACTAAAGTATTTAGCAACAGCTGACTGGTAGAACATAGGTACGAATTCTAAAGTAATAACAAACTTTCCAGTAGGCGCTCGATCAATTGACAAAAAAGGACCTACCAGTAGGCGCACAATCGGTGGATGAAAAAGAACCTACTGGTAGGCGTATGATTGTTGGATAACAAAGGACCTACCGGTAGGCGTAGGATTCACTCCCTACTGTAAATGCCCGAAATTCGGTAAAACCTAGGATAAGCGCGCTAAACCTAGGATTAACCAAAAGCAAGTGGTAAAAGCCCGAAAACTAGATATTTTGCTTTCATTTCGGACTTTTACCGGACACGAACAGTAAATCTTAGGATTTACCACACCGCATTGGTAAAAGTACGAATACCACTGATACCTACCTACGTTACAGGAATCGATATCGTGAATCGATAATCGTTAAAATTTCAATGCCTAAAAATAAGTTACTTTATAAATGAAACAAAAAGTCACACCAAAATACTTTTTATTTTAATATTCTTGAATGTAAACAGAAGTCATAGTTACATTAATTCAGGTACTAATATTGCAGAAAGTAGGCATAGTATTTCCAAACTCAATTGGAACAAGGTACCAACTGATAGCTGACTGGTCACTGAAAATTTCCATAAGAAATGCACTGCCACTAGTCAGCCACCAGTTATGATTTATGTTTACCTTGTTCCAATTGACTTTGGAAAATTAAGTATGGTTTTTCCAAAGTCAATTGGAACAAGGTATATTATAATATGAAATAAAAAAAATAAATAAAAAATACAGGGCAAACTTCCATGGGATTGAAAATTGCAGAGTCATTTAGAGGATCTGCACAAACATCTTTTGGTGGAACATTTTCGAATGCAATTGCATTTCTTAAATCCTTGGCCACTACATAACGACAATTTTCGCACTGCACTTTTTATCCTAATTTCCTGGGGCGCGTTCAGATTGAAGAGTCCGGACGACGTCCAGTGAAGAACGCACCCGATAGAGAGCGCACTCCGAGTGTGCCCGGCAATTCGCCCAATCTGAACGGCCAAGACGCAATTCTCTCTTCATAATCTCACTTATGGGATGCTTTGATTCAACCTTCAACCTTGGCTTTAATTTTGATTTTCTTGCCCTTTCAAATTTCACTGTGTTTGTGATTTTAACATTTTTGCCGTTTTCTTCATAATTTTTTAAATAAATAGGAGCTATGGAAGAAGCCATAGTATCTCCATCTTCCTTCATATTTAAAGAGTTATTGACTGATGAGGACGCTTCATCTTCGGACGACGAGGATGTGCTAGTGTCAGTGATTGCTATCAATTTAGCATCACAAACTAAACAAAAAAAAAGAAAGAGGCCACCTTTTTTTAAATAGAGTTGATGAGGATGACGAAGAATTTGGATAAACCCACCATAACTCGCCAAAATAATTATTTACAATATTTGCCTTTATTATTTAAGGTTAGAACACAAATGCGCATGCGGGGCAAATTTTATCTTGCTATTTTATGGGATGCAAAAGTGTGCGTCCGGGCGTCGTCCGGTAAAAATCTACTGACAATCTGAACGGCTGGGTAAATTTTACCCAAAGCAATCTGAACGGTCAGAGCGCGCTCGGGCGACACACGACGTCCAATCTGAACGCAGCCCTGAGATGGAACATCTCCAGGACAGAAATTTTCTTGACGATTATCGTTTCACGATATCGATTTCTGTAACGTATCAGTGGTATTCGTACTTTTACCAATGCGGACTGGTAAATCCTAAGATTTACTGTTCGTGTCCGGTAAAAGTCCGAAATGAAAGCAAAATAACTAGTTTTCGGGCTTCTACCACTTGCTTTTGGTAAATCCTAGGTTTAGCGCGCTTATCCTAGGTTTTACCGAATTTCGGGCATTTACAGTAACATAGATAAACGGTAGGCACACAATCAATGAAACAAGCGGCACCTACCGGTAGGCGCAGAGTTTACTCCCTTTACTATACGTACAATCAAGGATATTACACACCACTGTATTGCTCATCAGCCTAAGGGCGGGTATTATAAAACTGCTTTGACAGTTAACTTGAAGTTAACTTTTTGAATTCACATGTAATTCCAGAAGTTAACTTTAAGTTAACTCTCAAAGTAGTTTTATAGTACCCGCCCTAATAAAAACAAATATAATTTTTTTAATGAAATTCCATATTCGGGGTTTGACGTATATGGGTTAGAGCTTGGAGCAGTACGATGATGTTTTTTATGAGGATAGGTCATCCTACTCATCCTGTAGTATAGAGGTGTGTATCATCCTTGATAGAAATCTCCATGGCACCCCAGTTACCCATTACCAGACAACCTATGAACTTTAGGAACCTTATTGGATGGAACCATTTATTCTATTCTTACCAACAATTCTCCCATATCTCTGGTGCCAATGGCCATTAGAATGTTAAAATGATGTAGTGAAACCAAGTATGCATAAAGCAAAAGCCCGTGGACGTGGAATCATAACCTAATTGAGATAAGAATGTCTCCGCAGTGACCAGTGACGTTGGGAATCGTTAGACAATTTTTCGCGAGGATAATCAAGCATAAGGCGATTTTTCGCGAGGATAACCAAGCATAATCTTCTGCTGGATTATGTGCATGCCAGAATTAAGGGGGGGGCTAACGGGGCTGCAGCCCCGTGCCCCGCGGTCCAGTAGGGCCCCGGAGGGGCCCTATTTTTGAAATTGATGCTTATGCTGCAAACAATAGATATTAAATGCACTAGTCTTTCGCATCATGTTTCGCAAAATTTATTAAATTAAAAATAAATATAGAACAACAATGCAGAAGGAACGCCTGTCTTCATTAACATTGATGTGCATAGAAAGAGACATTCTGAAGGATTTAGAATTTACTGATGTCATACAAGAATTTGTTAGGTAAACTTAAGTTACCTACGAAAAATATTTATTTATGCAACAAGTGTGTAAAGTGAACCCTTTTTCACGAATGTGAATTTTGACGCACGAGCCAAAGGCGAGTGCGACAATCACATGAGTGAAAAAAGGTGCTTTACGCACGTATTGCACACAAAAAATTTTCTACTACCAATCAAATATGTGTAAAAAATAGCATTGACGATTTTGTAATTTAATTTTCTAACGTAAAATGCCATAATATACCATGAGTTACATTTAAGATTCGAAAGTTGACGTCACTTGAAGCGAAAGTGGTGAAATTAGATGACGATGGTAGAAGCGGCATAAAAAGTTACCCACATCCTCAAAATTTCAATTATATTGGATGATGCGTTCCGAAGTTATTACCTAGGAAAAACGTCGTGGGACACCCTGTATATTTTTTTGCACTTAATTTATGAAGGGCCCCCTAAAACTTCACTAGCCCCGGGCCCCATGAAAGCTTAATCCGGCCATGATTATGTGATGTGTCATTTGTGTCATACTCCCCTAACTCCCCCACCATAAAATTCTGGGATATTCGAGGATCTAGAACACTTAATTTCTTCTGTGAGAATAGATCAAAAATCTCCTTTTCTACATTTAATATCGACTAAAAAATTAATTCACTAGCACAGCCTGAATCGCAAGCTTTCCATCGAGGTCTGCGGCTGACGTCATCACTATAGTCTGCTGATAGTGACGTCACTCGCAGGCCCAGAATTTGAAGGAGAGGGAGTTAGGGGAGTAGGACACAAGTGACACTTCATATAACCCAGCATAATCAGATTATGCTTGATTATCCTCGCGAAAAATTGCCTTATCATCTGGTTATTCTGGGTTATGTGATGAGTCAACTGTGTCATACTCTCCTTATTCCCTCCCTATCAAATTTTGGGCGTGCAAGTGACGTCACTATCAGCAGCTTATAGTGATGACGTCACCCGCAGACCTCGATGGAATTTCATGACGGGGGCTAGGGGAGTATGACACAATTGACACATCACATAATCCAGCATAATCGATTATGTTTGATTATCCTCGCGAAAAATTGCCTATTATTGGTTGGGAACATTGAAGTAGGTTGAGAATATGGAATTTTACATCATTCAGCAACGCTATCTTAAAAAATATATATCGTGACGGGTTTTCGTTTCGCTAGCTTGTGAGTTACGGTCCTGAATTTTTTCTCCAAGTTGGCATGCTCTGGAGTGTAATTATTATTGGATAGATTTTGAGACGACTCGGAACACTTCAGATTAGAAAAATTTGGTAAAGGAACTAATAACATTCTCGGCTTTACTGCTCCCAGAGCGCTCTTCGTCTGAAGTCTGGGCGGTGACGTCATAGATCTCTGCATGGGTGCTTCGAGAGCTGATATAATCCAAACGAGGGCACACCATTCAAAATCAATAGCCGAATGGACTGTTTGGCTTTGGCTGAGTTCGGCTTAACACTCTGTAAACTCTGAGTGCGCTCGAAACAAAGATATCCTGTTCGTTTTAACTCTTAGAGTGTTCACTTTTGCGTTGGGTTCTAAGGTGGAGTGTAAAGTCGAACTCAGCTTTTGGATCCATCGAATCTTCGCGTTCTGTTTCAAGCCGAACATGTGAATCCGTTTTGGATCGCTTTTTTAATCAATCGGGTGCAGCTTTGAGGCAAAAGTCGAAAGCGCTAGAAAAAGTATATTTTGTCATTTTGTCAACGTCAAAAAAATACAAATCACCGGTGACGCCTGTCTAAATTCGTGCAAAAAAATTGTCAAAAATAATCAATGTTGTTGTTGGGCCTTTTTTTATTATTATTTTTAAAAAACCTTCACAATAATATAAATTTATTACTTATACATAGTTGAACCATACCAGAAATAAAGAATATATGATGGATCACACAAAACTAGAGGTAGGTACCATTAACTTTGTAGTTTTCGTTTAAAAACAATTTCTTTGGGTACGTGTTACTATTTACTCATAGCTTAAATATGTTTTTTAGATGTATGACGATGTCGGTGGTCAGGTTGAAGGCGAAATGAATATTCCAACGAACAAAAATAGACCTAACCTGGGGCAGCCTGATTTTAATACTTTGGACGAGCCTGTGAAAGATACAATAGTAAGTTAGTAGGTACACTCTACTTATTCGTTTGGTGAAATAGGTAGTAAAAGTTTTAAGAAAATACGCAATGCAATTTCTAATTTCAACCTTTATTATTTGGGACTGGATACTCGTCCGATAATCGGAATGATAGTGTTTTTGTTTCTATTCCGATTATCGGGCTACTAGTTTCTTTTGTTATTATTCCGCAAAATAATTTAAGAATTTACCTATCACCGAGCCTACCACTTAATATATTATTTTCGGACTATTAGGATTTACTCATATTATTCCGAAAATTATTTATGGTTTGAAATAGGTTAGGTTCCCTAAGATTATGTTGATTTGTGCAAGTATTAGAAAGTAGAATTAGAATTATTACAACACTATAAATTCAAAAAACCTGTTAGAACAAGGGAAAAGTCTCAATTTTTATAATGAAGTAGAGTCTTGAAGACAGTTGAAAAGGAGTTACTAATAGCTTTTTTTGCGGGTCCGATTCCGAATCGGTTCAGAACTAATTCGGGATTGTCCTAGAGCGCACGCCTAGTTAAGAATCGGTTCAGGATTTCTTTTTACCGCGAACGATTTTGGAACCGAAAACCGAATGCTTTTAAACATTACTTATGTGATTTGTGAAACTTAGCTATTTGATTTTTATAAATTAAAAAAAAATAACAGAACAGATATAATATTTATTTTTATTCAAAATTCGAAAATGCTCTATACATTGTCCATCCCTGAAATGTGGCATCACCTCCTCAAAATTACATTTCTTTAAGGAACTTAAACAAGCCCTAATTCTTCCTTGTCCTCATCGTTAGATGACAAATGGTTTGACTAGTAGGTACTTAGATGAAAAAAAGATCACTAAAATTGTGCATATAAATAAATATATTAGATTGAATAGAGATAAGTAACTTACAATACTGTACTGCAAATTCAGTAAACTATAAACTCCGTAGGAAAATACAAGCGTATAGTTTATCGTTTCAGCGTATAAATGAATAAAAAACCCAAATTCCAAATTTCAAAAACGCAAATAATACCAATAAACACCAGTCAGCTGACGAGTCTGACGAAATTACGCATGAGCAGCCGAACCGAACTTTTAGTCCTAACAAAAATCCTGGGACTGCTAGAACCGATTCCGAATCAATTAAAACCAGTTCTATGTGATCCGCGAACGTAGAACTGTTACTAAAAATTCAGAATTTTATTATCCGCGAACGCCACTTTTTACACTGCGCATGCGAATAGTCCCTGAACCGATTCGGAATCGGACCCGCGAACAAAGCTATAATCCCTATATAAAAGAGATGGTGAAAAATTGCAAACAATTGCAAAAGGTTGTCCCAAAAAATGCCAACAGGCTAAGGTAGAATTGGTATACTACCTAGTAGAATATACTTGCCATCAAGGTGGTAAACTCGGTGGTAAAAGATTTAAACTAGGATTTAAATCACTTAGCAAAGGCATGCGAAAATCAAGGAAATTACTTCGTGAATCATAATATGAGTCAAAGATAATTGTATTTTCGGAAGCTGTGAAAAAAAATTAGGGGCAAGCTGATTTTTTCAGGATTGTTTAAGAGGGGTGTCCTTAGTGTAAAAACACCGGAGTCAGAAACTTTCCTCTTCCGCGGTCTTGCCGCCCTTAACTATAGGGGTTGTTTCTCAACATTGTGCTACAATGGAATTTTTGGTCTCTAATTAGGCAATCCACAGATTAGGCAATCTAACAACCTGTCAAAAAAAGCGCCTGGTTGGCAAACAATAAACAAAAAACATTGTTTTCAAAGGTTCAAAGAAAAATGATAAAATTCTACCTGAATTAGACAGATTCAATGACGGATTAGTGATAAGTGCATAGAGAAATATAATAGTAGTAAACTATGAGAGACGTTTGTTTAATGTAACAATCTGGAAGTGTGTTTGTGCACATACCTGTAGTGTATTTCGCATGGTGTGGCAGATTATTGAACTAATAACTTCGATCGTTTCTGACAACTCGGTTTAATTTGTCTTTGTCAGCAACTTGTTCGAAAATGTTGTCTCTTTTTTTAACACATACAAATTTGTCAAAATTTGACTAATTATTGAATCGGCTTTGATAGAATCCGAAGATCATCAATCAAAAACTGAATGCTCATCGTCATAACTTAAAATTTCTTCTATTATTTATATATTAGAGAAATGAGAAAACATTCTGTGATCATAAATATATATTAATTAGACAAAACCGACACCAATAATAGTGTGTTTTCGAATTTGCGATGATGCGAGATGCAGTAAAAAGGTAAACACAAAGCTTATAATACAAACATTTTTAGTTACTGTATATTTATAAAATTGGAATAAAAAAATAAGTTTGTTTAAACATATCTCAATTTTTGTATTGTTCAATTACCTCCTTGACCCCCTTAAGGAATCTCATTGTATCTAATTTGAATTTTTTAAAAATAAGTTCTGTTATCATTCTAAACAGTTGCTCGGTAAATTTTAGCAAGTTTTTTCAACAAATGTTTTTTTTTTGCAATTAACTGTTTTGAGCGTTTACAGTACTTTATTTTTAATAAATCTTAAATAAAATCAAAGTTAATAATTTAATTATTCAAAAAAGCCACCTTTTCACTGTCAGTAAAGAAGAAACCTGCATTTAAACAATGTTCACTCTTTTATTGCTGTCCGTAGCCACCAGAGGCGCTAACGTCGACATTGTGCCAGTTAAGTACAGGTGAATGACTTCTCTCGTAGTTTACTACTATTATATTTCTCTATGGATAAGTGGTTCAATGCAAACCATCCTTTGTTTGCCAACCAGGTGCCATGAAAAGACACGTGGTTTGGATTGCCTAATTATAGATAATCGGATTCTCTACTACTTTTTCCCATCCCAACAAACCTTGATAAAAACACCCTTTTTGGTTTCATATGGAAACTGCGTGTCTGCTGGTAAACAGATACTTATTTTTTTTTAAATGCCATAAGGGCCAAATTATGGACTGACTGGTAAATGTCTGGTTTTTACCTAGCAGGTACTTTCTATGCTCAAGATAATAGAAAGTACCTGCTAGGTAACAACCAGACACTTACCATTTGGTCCATAATTTGGCCCTAAAGAAATTATGTTAAATTACTTGACTGTCTGCTTTTTCGTTATAAAATCGCCATGCTCAAATCAACATAGTTGTTTTCCGAGAATAGTGCCTGACTAGGGCTTAAAGTAATGTTCTCGTATAAACTGGGCTGCAATATTATCATGATAGTAGTTTTTACTTACTACTTTTTTTTAAAAATATAAAAATGTTCGGAATAATATGCGTTAAATGTTATTAGTCCGAAAATGATAAGTGAACATTTTGCGGAACAATAACAAAATAAACTAGTAACCCAATAATCGGAATAAAAACAAAAACACTATTATTCCGATTATCGGACGCGCATCCAGTTCCTTATTATTTTTTACCAAATACTATTCCAATTTTCAGTTGAGGGATGTTAAGGCTGTGGGTGCTAAGTTTAGTCATGTATTATTTCCTAAAGAAAAGAAGACTCTTTTGAAAGAATGTAAGTTAAATAAATACCTCTCACCGGAGCCCCTCTCAGTGCCAGTACACTTCACGGACACACAAAATTTGCGTTTTTCTGAATTTTATTAGACAGAGGGTACTTCAAGTCGATTATTGAAAAAATAAAAAATGCGGATTATCCAGTATTTAAAAAAAAAACAACCTAAATTGTTGAAAATGTGATATTCGCGATGTTGTCGCTCCGTGCCCTGGATCTCAAAAGAGAATATCCTCAAAAACGTAAATCCATCAAAAACACCTTGAAATTTAAATTATTTATGAATTTTCCATTGCTCGCTCTGCTCACCAAATCTCAAAGAGAAGATCCTCGGAAACGTAAATCCACCAAAAACGTGAAAAAACCCTTCTGTAAATATAGCCTTGATTTTTTTTTTCTTGGATTGCTCGCTGCGCTCGCCAAGTCTCAAAGAGAAGATTCTCGGAAACGTATATCCACCAAAAACGAGAAAAACCCTATTTTAAATAAAACACCTTAAAATTTAAATTATTTTTGAGTTATCGATTGCTCGCTTCAAGGCTGATTGCTCTTTGCTTCACGACAAAAATGTACCAAGAATATAGAGGTTGTTAATGTGAACAAGCATCAACTCGACACAGAGTGAAAATAATTGATTTTTCTAAAACTACTGGATAATCCGCAATTTTTTTTGTTTTTAATACTCTATAGAAGACCCTCTTTCTAATGAAATTTAAAATTTTGCAAAATTCTTGTGTCCGTAAAGTGTACCGGAGCCCCTCTCATATTTTACTAATATTTAATTATTTTAGGGGATCTATGGGGACCTTTAATGCTATGCACATTTATGGCAATGTAAGATAAATTGGAATTTTCATAAAAAACACATTTTTGTAATTCATTTTTCAGGATTTTACAAGGCTCTGCAGACGACATACACGATGGTGGGCCAGAGTTTGCAGAAGTTTTTGTCATTGTATGGATAGGTTCTATGGTAGTAACATTAAATTCCAAACTTTTAGGGGGAAATATGTAAGTACTATCAATCAAATCTAATCACATATACTCCCTTGCTGCAGCCTATTTGAGCTTCTCAGGTATCAACTTACTTAATGGGTAGTTAGCTTTGAATATTTCACATTTATTTCAGATCATTTTTCCAAAGTGTTTGTGTCCTGGGTTACTGCCTACTACCTACAACACTAGCTTTAATAGTTTGTAGATTTATTTTGTTATTCGAACAGACAAATCTGCTGTTTTTTATTAGATTTGCTGTGACTATGACTGGGTTTGCTTGGGCAACTTATGGTAAGAATTTTTGCATATTATCAATAGGTATTTTTAAAATTATCGTTTCAGCATCAATGATTTTTCTGGGGGATAGTCAGAAACCAGGCAGAAAATTATTAGCAGTATATCCAATTGGACTATTTTACTTTATTATTTCATGGCTAGTAATATCACATACAGCTAGTTAAAATTTTATCTCTAAATATATTACTGACTAGGTAAGCATAATAAATTCAATAAAATGGTAAGATTTACTCCTTTAGGTATGTATGAACTTATTAGTGCACATAAATATGCATTTATAACTTAGGGCTGTTATTATTTTGTTAATTTACTTAAATAAGAAGAATCTTACTTTTTAATTGAGATTAAAATAAATAGGTATTTGATGTTCAAACACCGAGCAAAATTATCTATATATATTATATTTATAAAATTCCATCCTTTAGATGTAACATTCTTTTTAAATTTCTTCTATTAAGATATTTCTGTGTATGTATAAAAAAGTATTATAAATTGAATACACTTATTTAAAATAACCTTATTCAATCGAGTTAGAAATTATTTCATAAAAATGTTCACTTTTACATTGCTCTACTGATGACACAATGTTCAAGTATTGACTTGCCAGTTTTTCATTATTTATACAAGTTGTTCCCCCACCTCTTTTTGTTTGCTTTTCCTGAAAAAAATGCATGAGATAGATTATTCTAAAAATTATTAGAATAAACTTACAGCCCGGTTGATATCCCCTATACAAAGCCATTTTAAGGAATCATTCACTGTAGAAACGGCCCATTTTGAATGATCTGATGCTGTTTTAAATGAGATTGATGGTTCTGGTACCGATATTGATAGAATATTGTCTACACTAAGAAAAAAAACATATTGGTACCAAGTAATGTTAAGTTTTTTTCAATGGTCTTACTGGAAATTTCCATCACAATCTGATGGTAATCTATTAGGTTCATTTGGCCAAGTTTCAACATATAAATTGCTTTGTAAATAGGCACCAACTAAATTGGCATATAGGTCTTTGTCAAATTTGCCTGATTTTGCAAAAGACGTAAATTTAGTGCCTCCCAATGAAGTAATATTCTCTACATTAAACCAAGGAGACATTTTAACAGTTTCATGATTAGCAGCTTTAAATAGTTCTGGCAAAATGTTTTTTAAAGATTCCGGTGTGTTTTGGGCAAAAATGTGAGGCTCATTGTATTGTAATTGTAGACCTGAAAGCATTAAACTCAGTTTATTAGGATTCATTTTTTGGAAGCAGTATCTTACCAATAATATTTAAATATTTCATTCCTAAACTAATACATAAAAAACTCTGTCCATAATGTGTTCCAGTTGTAGGATATTCGTAATGTTCTAAATTATAAGGATAATGTGGGACTGAGTGTGTAAGCAAAAAACCTTCATTCACATCACTCATAACTACACCTTTAGTATGTCCTTGACTTGCTGTCCTTTCAAATCTTTCACATGGAGGTTGGTCATTGTAGACAATGTAAAGATTTTCCTCTTTGTTATTATACAATCCACTTAGGGTATGTGCAACCATAGAACTAGTATCATTTATGTTAACTTTAGATAGAGTCCATTTGGAATAATCGTTTGATGTCATGTACATGAAAGCGAGACCTTGTTTAATGAAGTCATTTTTGTGTGCGGCTTGTTTTGGTAATTTATAGATCACATACCTAAAGAAAAGCCACTGAATGGAGCTCAAAAAGGATTATTCGAAGACTTACCTACCAGTCTACAGGATTATTATTTTCATCTCTACATTGCAATCCAAAGGACAACGTGATAATAAAGCACAATACAATATAATTTATCACAAGCATATTTACAGTAGGGTGACTTTGGTTCTCGTATCAGTACTGAATGAATAACATCAAATGAATAGGCTCAATTTCAATATTTATTATCATAAAGGAACTTATTGTCACACACAAAGAACTTTTTTATCCGAGACAAAGAGAACTTTTGATTTTGTAGCATGAACAAATGGACAAATAATCATATTGTGGTTTTCAGAATTGTTTATCAATTCTAGATTAGAATTAACAGGCCGGTCGGCAACTGCGTTGATAGCGACAGCAAATCCGTAAAAGCTGGGTTGGAATAAATTTTAATCTGTTTTCCTTTGACGAAAAAGGTACTTGTTTATTTTGCACTCTCACACAGGCCCGGATCTAGGCCAGTATGCTGGAAGAATGGCAATTTTTTAAAACTTTTTCTTAATTTTAGCATTTTATCGCAAAATATTATGTAGTTAAATTAGAGAAGAGTAAATACTGTATAAAAACCGGAATACATTTTTTTTGTACGACTACCTACCTGTTTTGAAGTTATTGGGCGTCAGACTCTCGAAACATTTATTGGTGGCAAAACAAGCTGAAAGATACAAATTAAAACAAAGTATTTAATGCATTGAACAAAACTGATTCTAAATTATGGTAAGCACTACTCATTTGAAAGAAATGAAAAACAGTTCATTTTTTGCTTTTTCTGGACATCTTCAAGGTTTTGATCTAAGTAATTGCAACGAACAATGATCTCTTCGTCCTGCCTTTCTATTGAGGGCAGCGATTTATGAAAAGCATGATATCCCTTTGATATCAGTACTAGCCACTGCACATTGTGAATAAATCGTTAAACTTTTTTTTCCAGTGGCAAGGTTTTTTTAGGCTTTTGGAGAAGATACATCTATTCTATTATAGTTGGAGGTTTTCCACGTTGTCTTTCTTAACTTTTTGGAATTTTCATTCCAGAATTTTTTCTTATAGCAATTATTTGGAGATTCTTTTGTGAAAAGTATCCATTTTACCTATTTCTCACGAATTCAAGACATCACCATTATGCATTTTGTGCTTTGTTTGAATTTGTCACTATATCAAATTTAAGTTTGGTTGAGTATTTGAAGATTGCTTAGGGCTACCTATAGTTGCATGCATTTGTGTGTGGCCACCTTCTAGAAATTTCAGGTCAATTATTTCCAGACTGGTACCTTCTCTTGTAAATGGCTTGCTGCAACATGCACCGATTTTGTCCTGAACAGCAGTCACAGAACATTGCAACATGCTTCACGTTTCCAGGTAAGCTCTGCAGGAAAATCAAAAGGCACGTTGAAATTTCATTTGAAATTCTCTTACCTTCAAGCTTGTACCGAAAGATTGTCTATATTTTGCACCCACACCTATCTCCTCACGTGTTTGAAGAGATACCCAGAAATATCAAATTTGAAAGTTGTAGGTGATATCGGAAAGTTTTCAATGATGTTTAGTTACAAGTTACAGGGTGTGTCACAGAAGTGTGGCGAAGCAAAGCTATACTTTCTTAAATGGAAAACCCCGTATATTATTGTCCCATTGGACTTTCAAACCTGATTCCAAATACACTAGGTTTTTTAGGTTTATTCCTCATAGTCCAGCCTCTCAGTATCCCATTTTGAAGAAATAATATGGATTTTTTACGTGAATGATTACCTTTATATTCTGCTGGTGGTCTCTATACTTTACCTTTTTGAATAAAAATGCAATTATTCTACCCCTCTTTGTCCTATTTTCTCCTGGACTAATAGGAATAAACCCTAAAAAACCTAGTATATTTGAAATCAGGTTTGAATGGTTAATCCAATGGGACAATAATATATGGGGTTTTCCATTTAAAAAAGTACAACTTTGCTTCGCCACACTTTTGTGCCACACCCTGTATACTTGTTACTAACATCATTGGAAACTTTCTGATATTACCTACAACTTCCATATTTGACATTTCTGGGCATCTCTTCAAACAGGTGAGATAGGTGTGGGTGCAAAATATAGACAATCACCCGGTACATACAAAACAGTAACCCTGCTTGTGCTACTGAATAATTAGTAGACTGAAAAAACGGCAAAAATGTTGCAAATTTTTTTTTCAAGGTATAGCTACATGAGACCTTCACAGATCGATAGAATAGGTCCATGGCCACCTGAAATGGCCAATTACAACATTTTTTCGTAGGTCCAACAATTTTTATATCGAAAAATGTCGTAAATTTGTCAAAATTTTGTTTTCATACTTTATCACACATACATCGCGATATCTCCGGAACTAATTGAGATAATTTCATATTTTTTTTTTCTAATTCCAGAGGGAATATTGTCACAACGAGAGGTACTTGCACTGGTTTAAGTCTGCCTTTGCTGCGGCTTGCAGCGCAATTTATATCAATTTATTGCTGAATTGCAATAAACATCCGACCGAATCGGCAATTAAATTAATAAGGTTGAATACCGGGTCCTCCTTTCCCAAGCAGCTAGTTGACAATATGTTAGCGAAAATCACCAAGATAATTTTGTTTTTCTAAAAAACTCGCTTTTTTCGTAAAACTAGGTAAAAATTCAACTTACACTTTTTATGCAGTACTTTTTTCAGTAAGCGAGAAACTTTTTTGTTTTAAGGATTTTTGCCATACTATCAGCGAATGTAACAAAGCTAAGACATCAAGAAAGTTTTTGAAATAAAAAAAATCCTGTGCAGTCCACACGCGGTAGAAGTGAAACCTTCATCGAACTGCATGCATTACACACATACTAAAGGGCCCCATACACTACGGTGAAACACGACGGTTTTCACCGCCGCGAGGAAACACGTCGTGTTTCATCGTCGGCCTGTTTTCACCGCACACTACGTGATTTTTTGGCAGTTTTTTCCGCGAACAAGTCGCAGCTTTAAGCAGTGGCGGCGGCAGCTGCGGTTCTTGTAAAAAACAAAAAAAAAGAAGCGTACAGTGTGGACTAAAGACTGGCTATTAAAAAGAAAATCGTTTTCTCATGTGAATTTGTTGCAAGAATTGAAACTGAATCCAAGCGATTGGTTTAATTATTTAAGGATGGATGAAGATACATATCTGGAATTATTGAAATTGGTAACTCCTCTAATGGAAAAAAAAGTACCCACTTAAGAAAAGCAATTGGACCGTATGAAAGACTTACCGCTACATTGCGGTACTTAGCAACGGGAAGAAGTTATGAAGACCTTAAATTTACAGCAGCTATTTCCGCACAGGCCTTAGGACGAATTATTCCTGAAACATGTTCTGCAATATTCGACAATATCACTTTGCGCTCGAATTACCATTATTTTTTCTACAAAATTGAAATGATTTTCCATTAAAATTAAAAAAATCATAATTCAGAAAAATTAAATGTCAATAAATTCAACAACAAACACTGCGTACGTCACTGGAAAAAACATGTCCATTTGGACGGCTGAACCACATACAACGGTTTTAGAACGAAATCTTGAACCGTCGTGCCAAAAATCAAGCTCGGACTGAATTTTAAACCGACGGTGAAACACGACGGTTTTCTACCACACACTTCGGTTTTGGCACGACGTGTTTCATCGTGGCGGTGAAAACCGTCGTGTTTCACCGTAGTGTATGGGGCCCTTAACATACACAGTGGTGTCCCCTCCCTCCAAAAGACTTAAGAAAGAACGCAAATAAATATAGTTTAAAAAAACTAAAATACACGCTGGGGTGCTTTGTTCCACATTTCTCATACGTTGAGCACCCCACGCTTTTTTGACAATAATTCTAATATTTTTTCTTCATTAATATTTTCTGTTTATATTAAAAATTATTTTTCACTTTTTAGTTCGATGTATTATAGAAGCGTGTCAGCCCCAGAGATTTCCAGACTTATTCAGAGCTTTCCAGAGTTTTCCAGATTTATATCCAGACTTGTACAGACTGATCCGGATTCTGGAAAATGATCCCCAGGTCTTTTGGGACCTTTGGCAGGATTTTTCCGACCCTTTCCAGAAACTTCCAGGCTCTTTCCAGACGTTTCTAAACATTATCCAGAGCTTTCCAGAGTTTTCCAGACTTCATCCATACTTTATCCAGACTTGTTCAGACTGATCCGGATTCTGGAAAATGATCCCCAGGTCTTTTGGGACCTTTTCCAGAATTTTTCCAACCCTTTCCAGAAATTTCCAAGTCTTTTCCAGACATTTCCAGAGATTTCCAGACAATAACCAGACTTATCCAGAGTTCTACAGACTTTATCCAGATTTATCCAGACTTGTACAGATTGATCCGGATTCTGGAAAATGATCCCCAGGTCTTTTGGGACCTTTGGCAGAATTTCCAGGCTCTTTCCAGACGTTTCCAGAGATTTCCAAACTTTTCCAGACTTCATCCAGATTTATCCAGACATTCTCCAGACCTGTTCCAGCTCACTTGGCTTGTTCCAGGTTCTTGTTGTGTGTTAATATAAGCGTGTTAAAAAAGTGTTGCTTTTTCGTTTCATGTCGCTTTTTCGTTTCAGGTTGCTTTTTCGTTTCATCGAGTCTCAAATCATTCCCACCGATTCTAAAGAAGTTTTCACTTCAAAAGTGATGCTTTTTCGTTTCAGGGTCGCTTTTTCGTTTCATCGTCTCAAATCACTCCCAAAGATTCTAAAGAAATTTTCACTTCAAAAAACCGGGATACTCTGCGATGCATAGTTTTCAAGATATCGTCACTTGAAATTGAGAGTAGTTTTACCGGCCGTACTCTACCCCGGGTAGCTTTGCAACACTTAGGGTAAGCACATAGTGGAGCGACGAGCAAAGCAGTGAGTAGCGAGGAGAACAAAGCAGCGGAAACTAACACACGATATTAAATTGTTTGACACATAGTGAAGAGCAGTGCGGAGATTTAGCAGCGCTGTTAATATCGAGCAAAGCGACGCATTCAAGCAAGTTTGATTTTTCTACTTTGCTCGTTTGTCTCTCCGTTGTAAAAATGGACGTGGAACAATTAATAAATAGTATTTTTTTTTTTAAATCTTTTGTGGGGCCAAAAAGATCCCTAACATCATAACCGATATATATTAGATAAGTTGTGGGATGATGTAGCAGGAGAAATGAAGTCAACAAGTAAGTGAAAAATGTATTATATTGTCACAACTGCCCGCTTTACGGGAGTGACATGGGGGTTTTGTAGCATTAGGGGTCGATGGAGAGAAACTCGCTCAAGTTGTATAAAAGAGTGTAGATATATATTTTCCCAAATATGCCCTTACATATATACACACTGGGGTCCTTATAGGGAGCCACACGTCAACGCTGCTTGGGAGACTGTCGATTAGTTATCGTCACCCTTATGCCTTGTCCAGAGGAGCTTTCCCAACGAGAGGTAATTGCGCTAGACAACGATAAGGATGAAGATACCCAGAGGGGCTTTCCCAACGAGAAGTACTTGCACTGAAGAGACACAATTCCAGAGGGGCTTTCCCAACGAGAGGTAGTTGCACTGGTTTAAGTCTGCCTTTGCTGTGGCTTGCGGCGCAATTTATATCCGTTTATTGCTTGTCTCATCATAATTAACCAGGTTAATTATGACCTGTGTTTTGTCGATTCGTAATAAACTCATTATTGAAATCATGTACAGGGTGGGCCAATTTGGACACTTTTAATAGGAAACGTCAATTTCTGAGCAAGATACAAAAAAATGAACCCCCCACTCTGAGGCTCAAATTTCATGAAATTTTGATTGGTGCAAACCGCATTATGATATCTTCAACTGTTTAGCCGCTAGAGGGCGATTCTCGATTTTGAGCAATATTTTGAAACCTTCATAACTTTTTTGTTTATGAAAATAATTGATTTCTGTAATAACTTTCTGGAAGCACTTTTTTAAGCAGAATTCAGTGACGTTCTCAGTTTTTTTTCTATCTGGCGCCTATTTTGAGATATTGACGGCGCGTATTTTGAGATATTGACCAAAGACGTATTGACCAAACGTAGAGCTAATGCAAAACCTTGGTTCAACAGCCAGTGTCAAACGGCTGTACAGAAAAAACACAGAGCATATAACCTTTGGAAACGACAACAAACCGCTCAAAACCACACAGAATTTATAGAAGCCAGAAATAGTTGCAAAATTACTATTGACTCCGCTAAAGAAACATACAATCAAAGAATAAAAAACAGGTTGCTGAATTGTCCAAGTAGTTCTAGGTCCTTTTGGTCTCTTGCAAAAGCTGTTGGATCTAACTTCACCAAGTCATCCATACCACCACTTACAGATAAAAATAATCACTTAGCCACAACATCAGAGGAAAAAGCCAATATGCTGGCCCAAATGTTTTCCTCCAACTCCAACCTAACTGTGCCAAACGGAAAAACTCCACCGTTCATTGAAAGGGTTTCCCATAGTATGCCAGAGGTACCCTTTTGTCACAGAGAAATACGAAAATCCCTTAAAAAGCTAGATACAAACAAAGCAATGGGTCCGGATGGCATTCCCGCAATAGTACTCAAAAATTGCGCCAACGAACTCACCCCAACTTTCGCAAAATTATTCAATTTGTCTTACAGGCAAGGAGTATATCCATCATCATGGAAGTCTGCCGCAGTACAACCCATTCCAAAGAAAGGAAAAAAGACAGATCCGTTAAACTATAGACCAATTGCTCTACTTCCGGTGATATCAAAAGTAATGGAAAGAGTTGTGAACAATCACCTAACCAAGTACTTGGAAAAGTACAAAATTATCAACGATAAGCAATACGGATTTCGAAAATATAGGTCAACTGGCGATTTACTTACATACGTCACTCACTTATGGCAAAAAGCGATTGAGTTGCGGGGTGAAACAAGAACAATTGCCTTAGATATATCTAAAGCATTCGACAAAGTTTGGCATGAAAATCTGCTCAACAAGCTCAAAGCAATGGGATTATCGCCGAAACTTTGCACTTGGTTTGAAAGTGACCTAAAGGACAGATCCATTTATGTTGCACTGGATGGCCAGAACTCCAACTCTTACCAAATAAATGCTGGTGTGCCACAGGGAGCAATCCTTTCGCCAACCCTTTTTCTGATTTACATAAATGACCTCATAGATAAAACAGTAAATCCACTTTATTGCTTTGCAGACGATGGCAATGTAGTCTCCTCACTCATACCACCCACAGGTCTTTCCGCACGTGAATTCCATCATCTTAGACTAACTCAAATATCGCAGATAAATAACGACCTGGAGATAATAGAGGACTGGGGTAACAAAAACCTTGTACATTTCAACGCGCAGAAAACCCAAGCAGCTCTGTTTTCAAAAAAGACCAGCACCGGTGAGCCAAACATCATGCTATCTGGAAGTGCTGTCACATTACAGAGTCAGTTGAACATCTTGGGGGTTACTGCAGAGACCAACATGTCTTGGCACAGTCACGTGGCAGATATTGCTAAAAGGGCGTCCCAAAAGCTGGGGGTGCTATTTCGTACAAGACATCTGTACACACCAAGCCAATTGCTGACACTCTACAAAGCCCAGATTCGACCAACTATGGAGTACTGCTCACATATATGGAGTGCAGCACCCAAACATACCTTAATGCTTTTGAACACCGTGCAAAAACGAGCTATCAAGCTGATCAATGACCCCGCACTTACTCGTAACTTGGATGGTCTCGAACATCGCAGGTCTGTGGGCGATTTATCTCTCTTCTACAGGTACTATCACGGAAAATGCTCTGAAGAGTTGGCACGTATGATTCCACCGAGAGTAGCGCCTACCAGGCGAACCCGTCAAACAGACGGTAACCATGAATTAACTGTCAAACTAGAGGCACCAAGAACCTCATTATATCAGAATTCATATCTCTGGAGAACAGCATCGCTGTGGAATAAACTCCCTGCGACGGTTTTTCCTGCAGGTTACAACCTGAACCGTTTCAAGACTAACATACACCGACATTTCCGCGCACTCGCCGCTTCTCGAGCGTGATAGGACATTTCCGCGCGCATATCCGTAAAAAAAAAAAAAAAAAAAAAAAAAAGTCTGATTTTTTTCAATAGGACACCCTTTATATTGATAGCTCATTGAAAAGCTATTATTTTTCTGATTTTAATGATATAAAGTTTGATAGGTTTATCTCTAACCGTTTTCGAGAAAAAAAATATTTCGGTTTTTCCCATAAGAAGCAATGTGTTAGAAAAGGACTTTATAGCTGTAAGGAAAATGAAAAAGGTCTCTTTCTAACATTGTTTTTTATGACAAAAACCAAAATAATTTTTTTTCTCAAAAACTGATATCATTGAAATCACCAAAAGCAGAGCTTTCCAATAAGCTATTAATATATAGGGTGTCCCATTGAAAAAACTGGACTTTAGTCAATATTTCGAAATTGGGGCCAACTAGAAAAAAATTGAGAACGTCACTGAATTCTTCTTCAAAAAGTTCTTCTAAAAAGTTTTTACGGAAATCAATTATTTTCATAAACGAAAAAGTTATGAAGGTTTCACAATATTGCTCAAAATCGAGAATCGCCTTCTAGCGGCTAAACGGTTGAAGATATCAAAATGCGGTTTGCACCAATCGAAATTTCATCAAATTTGAGCCTCAGAGTGGGGGGTTCATTTTTTTGTATCTTGCTCAGAAATTGACGTTTCCTATTAGGTAAAAGTGTCCAAATTGGCCCACCCTGTACAGTGTGTTATTTTCCCAAGCAGGCTCGGTGTTGACAATATTATTAATTGATTGCTACTGGACCAATTGGGTTTATATTAAAGTTAGTCCATTTTTTTACCAATATTTGTTCTATTTTCTCCAAAATGTAATCAAAAGTTTTAATATTCTATCGAAAATAAGAGTGAAATTTTTCTGGATGTTGCCGTAGTTCCTCTATTGGTGATATTCGTCTAGTCGAAATCTGCTTCTTTATCGCAACGCAGCGCGGTGTGATTCCTTCGATCTGCCTGTTTTTTAAAAACGTAGGTATCTTAACTTACTTTTCAAGATACCTAATAAGATACTTTATTATTATTTCCAAATAGCAGGTGAAAACCCGATTAAGCTATTGCTGTTTATTTGGTCCACAGGTTTCAGGTTCAATTTTAAAAACAAGAATTTTTATACTTAGTTTAAAAATTCCAACTTCGAGAAGGTTCAATTCTTCTTGAGTATATTGTGGGATCTCCAAGTCAATACAGCTTCTCATATCGGTGGATTGCTCCACATGAACACTCACTACCTATGTTCATTCCACGCGTTCTATCCTATCCGTATACTAAGTGGATTGGATTTTGGAATAATGATGGGAATTAGTAATCGTAAAATAAACACCCAGGACTTGTCATTCCGACATTGCTTGGTCTGGTAAGGATGCTGTCTACCACTAGTCTCCACAGGAGAAGCGAAAGGACACCACCTTATGGACAATCTAAACTATAAATATCTCAATTTTGCCAGAATGAAAGATAACCAATAGACATAAGAACTATTCAAATCAAATCTTATAATTCTAGTCACACCAATTAGGCCAAGCAATGAAGGAAGTTTACCTCAACATAATTAGAAGTTAAAAATTTTTTTTGGGGGGGGGGGGGACTGGCCCATTTTCATGTAACTCATGTGGCATTTTCATGATACATTTGAGCAAATGCACCTTGCAAATCAATTTTCGCATGAATTGTTAATTTTCTGAGGGAAGGCGGTTTAATGAGATTAACAAAAAAATTGAGTAAATTTACCACGACTTGTTCAGAAGTAGATTCCTTTATTATTGATGGTATCAGTATGGTATCAAAATGAAGAACTACACCTGTTGCTTTTGGCTTCCGTTACCTTTAATGAGTTAAGAAACATATTTGCCACTGAAATAATATGAGAAGGAAGAAAACACTACACAAACAGAATTACCGTAGCATTTGATATATATTCACTCAGTTCGTTGAAGAATATGAAAAGGCAACGACGTGGTAATTAGTGACTTTGAAGTAGCTGACGGTTTATTAAAAAACATGGTTCAAGAATTTATTCGATCTTCTACCAATAAACAATCACTGTTAGCGTTTATAACAAATTATTTTTTAGAATTACTAAACCTACTATTTAAAGCTGTAAATCGCAGGTTTAGTAATTCTAAAAAAAAATTTGTTATGCAGATGACAACAACCTTATCTCGTCTTTCATGTCGTGGACTGTGGTGGAAACAACATTGCCCAGTCTAATGCAGGACAGACACAAGAACTATTTTCTCAAAAAAAGGCAAACTCCGCAGGATCTGACCTAACAAGGACAGGACTAATCAAAGAATTTTTATTTGATAATAATATTTTACACCTGGAAGCCCCAATATTTTTCATCTAATAAAATACGAGTTTTTTTTTTTTTTTAAATTTACCTAAAAAAATAGGGATCTGGGGGGGTAATTACCCCCTCTACCATACCATATCTACGCCCTTGGTTGCAATTAAGGTGAGAGCTCAAACACAACACATACTTTAATTATTTTTTAGTATTTTATTTTATAACTTAATTTATAATACAGAATTCTACATAACTTTTTTAGGCGTCCTAATTAAATATCATGCAGTTAGTTTGTACATTATTTCGGAGCCTCATAGTATTTAAAAGCAGATGGTTGTGGACATCTATACTTTAGCATTTCAACTTCAGCTTCAAAGTAACTAGTCTTATCGTAGCAAAAGTACTCGGGGTTTGGGTAGTTTCCATCTTTACTTGCACCTGTAAGAATCATACACCCTCTAGAATGTTGGCATGCTTTTCGTACGATGGTAGCTATTGTATATCAATAAAAAAAAAAGGTCCTTACCAGGTCCTACAGGTTCATTTGGTACTTTTACAACCCTTTCAGAAACACCCTGTACATTTGGTACAGAAGGTGGAGATGGGACTTTGCTTCTATTGAATACTATTATGCCTTTCGAGAAATTCCTTTTGGAAGATGAAAAATGTCTGATTTTTGGAACATTTGCTAAAATTTTCGCAGTTAAAGACATTCTTGATTCTTGATACTTTTTTAGGTTATGTTATATAATGTTTTGGCTGGTAAACGCAACGCAGCCAGCCTTGGCAAATGTGGCCACTGTCCCACGTTCGATAACATGGGATTATCACAAGTGGCCGATCAACAAGCATCGAGTGGCGTCACCGTAGATGCTCCATTGTTACAAAAAATTAAGACTTCCAGATCTCTTTGTATGTATTGACTCTTGAGAAAGTTATGATAAACGACGAGACGTTGGGAACTATAATTTTAGAGTTTCACTTGCATTTTTTTGCCCTATGTCCAGCGAAATAGGTATCTACTTCACTCATTTGAAAGTGTGGCCTGCGACCCTGGGGATTTGATTGAAGTTACATATTTTAAATTACCTACCGATAGGTAATTTTTATTCTAGTGGGGCTTTTCACTAGAAGCATCATTAAAGGCACCCAACACTACTACTGAGCGAACTATCTGGTTTTGTGTTTATTTCATGAAATAAACTTTATACTCTTTTGTCTGTAACTTCATGAAGAAGAAGCTATGCTATAGTACTAAGGTAGCGGTACCAGTAATTGACAGTTTAAGGCATATTTCCAACTTCAAGTCCCTGCATCAGATTTAATAATAATTTAAACATGGCATAAAAATTTCAAGGAATAGATTAATAAATATCATAGATTAAGAAATCGTTTTTGTATTTATGGAAAAAAATTATTTTAATACTTAAAAAAAATAATAATAAGTTATAAATACCAACTGTGCCAGTTATTGACCAATTCGAAAAACGAGTGTGGTAGTCATTGACCTAAAAGAGATCCTGTAATTGTCCACCAAAAATGCTTATAATTTATATTTTAATACAAAAATAAAACAATGGCATATTTGAACATTTATTATGAAAAGTAAACTAAAATTACATGTATTTTCTCTGGAAATTAAACTCTACAAACTTATTGCGTTTTTAAGATCCTTGTTGAAATGTGCATATTATTCCAAGCAGCTCACATGTAGGCTGGTTAGAAGGCGCCATAATTTCTGTGAAAAAAAATATATACCTATTGAGAACCTAGTAAATGACCTAACTATGTTCTAATGATTGACTAGCTAAAGATGAACTACTAGTTATTGACAATGGTGGGATCTAGCAATTGACCATGTTAAGATATTGTTCTCAAAACTATTTAAAACTTTTCATAAGTCAAACACTACTCCGAAATTTATTTGATGTTAGTTGCATGTTATAAAAAAATTCTATCACAAAATTATATATTTTTATTTAAGAAAATAAATAAAACAAATTGTGTTCTAAGAACCAATAATTGACTTACAGGTCAATCACTGGTTAGTTCACAAAAAAAATTGCACCAGTATTTGACCTCTATTTTTTTTATATTTGAAGTGAAAAAAATGCTTTTTTTCATATATAAATCAAATTTAGAAGTATTTCTTACGTACCTTTAACAATTAAAACACTTTGTCACAACATATAACCAAATTTCGGAGCACTTTCCCTTCTCCAACTGCTTAGCAAAAAATTAGGGAATTTTGGTGCTACACTCGTCAATCCTGAGGGTGTACTGCAAAAGTGGTTATAATACAAGTTATGATCTATCATTTCCCGCCATTTATTTCCATATTGCAGAGAACATACTAGATGGCAATATTAATATTTCAGGAATCTTTAATAAGTTATAGTTTTCTTATTTTAGCTCAAAAACTGTGAAAGTGGTCAATAATTGGGGCACAAACAATAACCGGTGCCTTTACCTTAATTGATTTCTCACTTGATTCATGGACATTTTCATTTTGAAAACTGTTGCCTGATGCTGCTTCACAAGTGTTTCACAATTAGTTATCATATTTTGAGATCATTAATTTATTTAAAATACTGCGAAAGAAGGCATGTACCTATTAGCTTAGAGTAGTAACATTATAGATTCTTTGATTATAGGTCTATAGTATAGTTGCCTTCTACCAATTATGAAATGAAATACTTGCTTTCTCTCATTTGATCATTTAAAATTCTTTTGCCAGGTTGTCAAGAATGCGTTTCGATTTTCCAAACGCTGGCGAACGCCTGTATGGTCTTTTTTTAATAACATTTATTAATTTTATCTGATTCTGAAGTAAGCCAGGAATTTAAAAAAAGATTGTACCAACCGCACCAAACCAATTGTACGTATTTTTTTAGGTGTTTATTATCCAATAATAAGATTCATTTTGAAAATATTGCTCTCTACCATACATAATTGACTTCAAGTCAAGGTGCTTAGTGCATAGGTCTGAATATTCTGAAGCTATTACTCAAATCGGTGGGGTTCATGAAGGGTTGAAAATTAAAGAAACTACATCTCGTTCCAGTTTTCTTTGGCATCTGGTCCTCCTTAGAAATTTATTTGACTCACTAACCTTTCTATGTTAATGGATACATGTCAATTTCCAGCCAGACACCTTGAAGACTAGTACCTACAATATTTTGTGCAATACCGAATACCAACTGATTTGGCTTAACTGGGCAATCAAATTTGAGTATTTGACAAGTATTCTTGCCTTTTTTATATTATATTATTTTATATCAAGATTTCACTCAACGTTACTGATTGACATACCTACATAAAAGACACTTTGGAATTTAAGGGAGGGCGAACCAGTTTATACAGAATTTTAAAATATTTGGGGGTATCTAGATGAAACCTGGATTTATCATAATGGATCTCAGATCCGTTGATGATGGATGGACGAATCTGATATGAGAAGTCATCCATCCAAAATTAAATGAGAGAAAAAGCGGTTTACTATTTTCTATGTAGGAAGTTATTAATCAGGGTTTTTGGACGGGTGTGGCTTTTTTTGAGACTTACAAAACAATGACCAAGACTATCAAAATACTATGAACACGGCCTCATTTCAAAACTGGTTTTGGTAATCGACCTATTCCTGCCTTATGTAAATTTGAATAGAAATGCTTGGTAGTTATGGTTAACGCTCCATATCATTCGGACTGCTAGATAAAGATAAAGTACTTACATTCTCTTCAAACAAAGACAAAATGCAGAATGCAGTAGATATAATGGTTGACTAAATATGAGGTAAATCTCCGACAAAAACTTGATGGAAAAACAACTTTGGGATATACTTAATACAACAACCATTTAGAAATTCACCAAAACGTTAGAAAATTCACGAGATTTTGAGTCCACCGACACAGTGGCGTAGTGATGATGCTTCGGGCCCGTGTTCGAAAATTTTACCGGGCCCCTACTCCTGCGAGATGAAAAAATTGGAAAATGGTAGTTATATATATTTCTTTTTCAAATATACAGGATGAACTTTAAGTATGGAACATATTCAATATAAGGTGGTCTGGTAATGAGTAACTTGATGACGCATTTGAGGTGCCTTATGGAGATTTGCACTATGTATCAGCATCCCAGATGACGTCCTAAAGTTATCAGGCAACCTGCTTCTCTCAAACAACCTTGAGCACAACAAAGCGCAATGCGGGGATTGCAGGATCTTGAGTTGACATACCGGGCAATCCTGGCATACTATGGAGTGGTTCGGCCCTACAAATACCCCAGGGAAATTAGACCAAAAAAAAGGGTCATCTGCGGAATGAGGCCGAACAAGCTGAATTTTTGCAGAGACCTTCGTTTTGATGTTCTAATGAAGCACAAAAAAATCGAATATGCCTACCCTTGTGCCTCTTGAGATATCGAAGGTCAAAGGTCAAGAAAATCGGGTTTTTGCGAAAATCTCGCTTCCAGTGCATCTGACGTCGAAGAACTCAAAACAAAACTTACGTAAAATAGTATTTTCTACAAAATTATTGCTATACATTTTTTTGTACGACCAACCGTTTTCGAAATATAGCGTGATAAAGCGGAAGCGCGCATTCAAAATAGGTGATACTGTATTATACAGGGTGTACCTGTTCAACTGGTCAAAAATGCTAGGGTATATAGAGGAACCATAGAGAAGTAATTTGAGATAGGACACCAATGGTCGGAAGTGCGTCATTTACAAAATACAGGGTGTTGAAATTTAAACAAATTTCCAGGGATTATTGATGTAAGTATGATATTCAAAAAGTCATATGCTGCGCCCCCATTTTCTACTTGGAACCATCCCAAAAAAAAATAAAAAATACTTAAAATTTGAGAAAAAAGCAATCTTTTTCAATTTTTTTCTTTTTTTTGGGGCAGTTCTTTGTAGATAAAAAGTGAGGGTGCATTATACGAATTTTTAAATATCATTGCTACATCAATAATCCCTGAAAATTTGAACAGCCTAGCATTAGCCCTCCAGATGATATGAAAGGGGGTTGTTTAAATTTCAACACCCTGTATTTTAAAAACGACACCCTTCCGACCATCGGTATATCCTATTTCAAATTACTTCTTTATGGTTCCTCTATATACCCTAGCATTTTTGACCAGTTGAACCGGGACACCCTGTATAATACAGTATCACCTATTTTGAATATGCGCTCCCGGTTTATCACGCTATATTTCAAAAACGGTTCGTCGTATAAAAAAATGTATCAGAACAATATTGTAGAAAATACTATTTTACGTAAGTTTTGTTTTAAGTTCTTCGACGTCAGAAGCACTGAAGCGTGATTTTCGCAAAAAAACAATTTTCGTGACCTTTGACCTTCGATATCTCGACGCATAAGGGTAGGCATATTCAATTTTTTTGTGCTTCATTAGAACATCAAAACGAAGCTCTCTGCAAAAATTCAGCTTGTTCGGCCTCATTCCACAGAGGAAGTCTAATTTCCCTGGGGTATAATGAATTTTGAAGTTATGCGACACGCGACAAGCCGTAAAATCGGAAAGTGTGAAAGAATAAAAGAAATCAGTAGTCAAATAAGTCTACATACGAATATGAGATCGACGACTTCACCTACGCAGATATAGATATACAGGGTAGTCCAACAAGCGCGTCTCGGTCAATAGTAGCCAAACCGTTGAACTTATGGAAAAAGTTTTAGCATTTCATCTCTGCTATCCCCAAAATTATTTTCAAGTATACAGGGTGTCGCAAAAAAGAGTAATCACAAATTTTATGTTTTTTTTTAAATGGAATAAGGTTTGTTTTTCTGTGGTA